CTGAAGCACTGCTTGGTTCTCTCCTCTCCTAGGTGGTACCTAGTGACTCCTCCAGTAAAAACGAGACTGTGGTAGATGTGAATGTTCTGACTTCCCCTACCTTCACCATCAAAGTCCCCCCCAACTTGGACCCAAAGAGCCCCGAGTTCATCGAGTACATAGCTGCACAAGCACTGCGACTATACAAGCAGAATTTTTAAGTGGTAAGTTCATTCCTTCTTCTCTCACCAAGAGCACAGTTCTTCACAGGAGGTGTTCACATTGCAACAAACTTCCCCTGGAGCAGGATTTAGTCATGGTATGTACAAGGCCTCAGAGATGACACACTGAGACAAACACAGGCCTTATGAAAACAAAACCAAATTCTAGCCTGCAAAACACAGTTAGGGTGGTATTAAAAGATGTGACTTGTGTAACAGTGAAACCCTCAGTGTTTAAGTAACATCCAGGACGTGGTAATGTGATGATAAATATTCCTTCACAAGGTAATTGCCTCACAACCACAGTCCACAGCCCTGGAACCAGAAACGATGTCACTGTGTTCAGTAATCACAAATGATCCAGAATTCCCACTATTCATTATGTCTTATCTTCATTAGTGTATACTACTATAGTTTTCCATACTATTTTTGATGATGAAGGAGTGCAAAGCTCAAATCAGCACCAGGACTTGAAGCAGATGTTTTACTGTAACATTTCCCCACTAGCAACACTCTGCTCAGGTTAACAGTCTTAATCAAGTCTGCAGTTTGACTCACAGGAATCTGCACAGGAAGGGACTTCTCATGGGTTTTAAGTATTATCATAATTTCTACAAAAATGGTTATTTCCTTAGTCTGAGTATGATTTTTAGCCTGAATCTTAGTCTGGTTTTCCTTGCAACACAACCTGTGAAGCCATTTCATACCTAAGAAAAGTGGCATTAACTTTGAGATCACAATACCAACTTATATTCAGTTTGCACAACAGATCTGGGGTACAAGAAAGGGTGATGAAAGCAAAGAGTTAAAACTCTACAAGAAACACCAAAGATCTTTTAAGAATGGGAAAAGAAAAATGAATCTGTTTCTGTCTGGTGTATTTCATGTATGTTTCTAGAGCAGGGCACCGATCATTCCACACATACCTATTTTTCTAACATCCTTTCCTCAGCTCCAAACCGAAAAGCTTAAACCAGTTTTTTTTCCTTCTAGGAAAGAAGACACGTGAAGTCTTTCTTCCTGAAATCCACTGGATAGTCCTTAGAGTAAACACCCCTGAGCTCAACATCCAGCTAATTGTTAAACGACTATGGTTAAAATAGCTGCATATAAATAAAATAAAGCTTAGCAAATACTGTGACATAGGAGCTAGCAACTGCAAGACTCTACAAATCTTTTAACTCAAAACCAAAACTAAATATATTGTAATAGTAATTTATTTAAATAAAATGTTATTTATGCTCTAAGTTTGGTAATCTTTGATAACAGCTATGGCCCTGGTTACGTTAAGATTATAGGAAACAG